TCTGCTGCTGCTGCTGTTGCGGCTGCTGTTCCTGCTGCTGCTGTTGCTGCTGCTGTTCCTGCTGCTGCTGCTGCTGCTGCTGCTGCTGTTGCTGCTGCTGCTGCTGCTGTTGCAGTAATACTAGCTACTGGCTGAAGGCGAGGTGTGGGGTTAGTGTGTGTCTGTGGGTGTAGAGGCTCTGCTGCATGCAGAGAGACAGCTAGAGGAGATTGTTAGTAAGAAGAGACAGAGAAAAAAAGGAGACAAATAAAGGAGATAGAGAGAGAGAACGAAACAAACAAATAAGGAGACAGAGAAAAAAAGGAGACAGACAAAGGAGACAGATAAAGAGAAGGAGACAAACAAAGGAGACAGGAGACAGAGAAAAGGAGACAAACAAAGGAGACAGATAGAGAGGAGATAAGTGAAAGAGACAGAAATATAAAAGGAGACAAACAAAGGAGACAAGGACAGAGAGAAGGAGACAGAGCAGAGACAGAGTACGCTGTTAGGTGCTGTCTCCTTTTTTTTTTATTTTTTTTTATTTTTTTTCTCTTTTTCTGTCTCCTTCGTCTCTTTTTTTGTCTCCTTGTTTGTCATTGTTTTGTCCTTTGTCTCTTCTTTTTATTTTTTTGTCTCCTTTAGGGTTTAGGGTTTAGGGTTTAGGGTTTTGTGTGGGTTTTGTTTCTTTTTTTAATTTTCTGTTGTCTTCTGTCTCCTTTTCTTTTTATCTCCTCTTTTTTCTTTTTTTTTTCTTTACTTTTTGTCTCCTTTATTCTTTTTCTTTTTGTCTCTTTTATTTATTTTATTTCACTGCTCGCCGCATCTGTCTCTTTTTTGTTGTTGCTTCTCTTTTTTCTCTCTTTTTGTTTATCCTTTGTCTATATCTATTATGTATCTTTTTTGTTTTTTGCTTGTTTTTTTTTCTTTTTGTGTTTATTTATTGTTTGCATTCTTTACTTTTTTTCTTTTTTTTCCCTTTATATCTTTTCCTTTTTTGTTTGTTTTTTCTTCTTTTTTTCTTGTTTTGTTTGTCGTACAGTATTTGTTGTTTTGTGCCGAGTTTTTTGTTTTTTTTAGTTGTTTTAGTTTTATATAAAATAAAAAAATAATTATTTTTATTATTTCAGTTTTATATAAGCAAAATAAAAATAATAAATTCGAGTGTCTCAGCATACTATGAAGCCAACAAAAAATAAATTTATTTAGTTCAATATAACACAAATAAAATAAAATAAATTTTACTTTTTCTGTTTAATATAGAGAAAATAAATAATAAATTTATTTATTTCAGTTTAATATAAATAAAATATTAAAAAATAAAAAAAAAAACAACCGCTAGCAGGGTGGTGTCGGCGATCACCGCGGGTGTGCTCTGGGGTGTATAGGCAGCTGCAGCCTTTACCATATGTAATTATTTTTTTTTAATATAAAATGAATTAAATAAAACATTAAAATAAATAAAAAATAATAAAATAAATATAAAGACAAAGACAAGAAGAGAGTACTGCTGCTGCTGCAGCAGCCTCGCCGTGACCCCTTGCTGCTGTCTCTGCCGTCTCTATGGCCGCTTGTGC